TGTTTTAGTATCACCCAACTAGTCGGACAGAAAAGGCAATAATAAAGTTAGCAAATGCAAGTTGAAGAAATATTTGTTTGGGAATAAAACAAAAGATAGCGTCACACTCGATTGCTCCAATTTCGCTACTCGAGGACTATTACTAATAGTCCTCTACTAGCGTAGCAATTAAAATGCAGGATTTGCATTAGTCCACTAGTTGGGTGATACTAATGGCTGATAGTATACTAGTAGCTCAGCCAATCAGATTGCAGCAGTTGCATTAGTATACTAATAGAATTCTACTAATAAAAATTAGTGCTCTGTTCAGTTGTAAGCACCCTGAAATTTTCGAGAACACGAGAGAACTGTTTGTCAGTTGAAGTTTAACTGTTTCTCACGCTCATACTCGCGGGAGTGAGATGTGGAAGAACGCGTATCTCCCCCGGAGGGGAAAAATCCCAAATGTCGAGGATGCTCACCGTCTCGCTTAGGGATATAAATTCAAGGATCCTGGTCTCACTTAGGGTGCTAAGTACGAAACACTAATATTTCAAGCTATCAAAGTATCTTTTAGGGTGCACTCGAACAGATAATTAAAGAAACGCTCTCATTTCCGTTTTCAGGCTCAATTTCCGCCGATCTGTCGAGTACGGTCTACTAGCCCATGGCTCCTTTCACGAACAATTGGTGTATATCTTTTAGGGGTCACGTCCAGATTGTTTTCCTTTAGGGGTTCAATTCAAATTTTCCACCGAGCATCCCCGACCTTTTCATATGGGCGTCTCCCCCCGGGTGCCCATCATCGGAAGACCTTTTACATCTGAGAATACAGGGAAAAATTTGTCACCCAAGGATACCATACCCCCAGGGGGATTTTGCTGGGAAACTGACTTTTCACTCGCAAGAAATGCTTAGCAATGTCACCCAAATCTCCAGAAGCCCTCCTTCCTTCAGCCAATGCCCACAATGAGTCAGTGTACAAAACTTGAGAGTTTATTCTCTTAGAAACTGAGTACATATTATCCTACAACATGCGTCTTAGTTTTATACAGATAACTCGTTTGAACTCCAGCAAAATATTGCCGCTCTACTGAAGAAGGCACCGGTCTAGCAAATGTTTTTACGTCATACATGGTGTTCTCAGTCAAATGCCTGCGAGAAAAAAAAAACTCCCAATATTAGCCTCAGTTGCAAGCTAGTTCCACTCCAATACCAAGAACACGAATATGGCCTAATAATTACAGGTATTCACTTTCCTTATAACTGGACAACTACGTCATTGGCGCGTCAATTAAGTGCGTTTTAATGGCTTCCTTAATGGTTCTCTGCTTTTTGCAAAACGTATGGAAAATATTACTGACTTTTAAAGAATTGTTAATCTCGAACTGGTTATTGATAAAACAGACTATTTTACAGTTGTCCGCTTATTGACCGGGCCTCTGAATGGCGGTGACCTTGTTTTGATCCCGGCCAGACCTCACTGCTTTTGTTGTGTTAATCAAGTTGTTCCAATACTAACTGGTTACATTTACACGACAAAAGCAGAGAGGTCTGTATCGAAGCAAGGCCACCTTCCGCCTGGCTTTCATGGACTAGGTCACTGAGCACACAACTGTAAAATGGCCTATTTAGTAGTAATTGGACCTCCTGTAGCACAATTCAAGGAGTAATTGGGCTCGTAATTTTGCTCCACTTAGCCCAGTTACTATTACTTATGAATGTCATGCAATAAATTTGGAAAAAAATTAAGCATTTTTCTAACAATCCATCGTTGGACCTACCAGTCTGAAATTTCTTTCCTGTTCTTTTCTTCTCGTCTCACTCAGTCGGGCAATCTCATCAACTTTTCTTTGAAGTATTCCTGAGAAGAAATTTAATAAAGTATTGTAAGAAAGTTAGCACTTTAGTGGACTGGCTTTAAATCACACAAGCCACATTGAATTATTCTTGGCCAAATTAAATAGTAGAGATAGGATGACATGTTGTTTCTCAAAGCTAACTAACCTGAGTTTTGATCAATCCACTGTAACGAATTCATGTGTGCATTTAATATCTTTGCTATCTGTGCAATCTATAGGCAAAAACAAAAACAATAAGCACTTTAATGTAACAGTCCCTCCATCCATCCAGTATGGTGGAATGCATCAATATAACAAAGGGTGGGTTATTCTTTATACATCTGCTGACCGGCAGAAAACACAGATTGCTCTGTACTACTGAACCAAGTGTTCAACCATCAAAAACATTGGAGACCTTGGAATTTTGGTGGCAATGGCAACTGCGATGGCGATGGCGACGCCATAATCCGAGAAGGACTAGAGATAGTTTTACACATCATCCAAATCTTGTTCCCAGGGTCTCTCTATCTTCCTACCCCAAGAATGACGAGGACCCTGGAAACGGGCTTGGGTATTATTGACAAACTATACATCGAACTTACTGGGTCATCTGTGTCCTGCTGCTGTGTGTTGGAGGTGTTAAGATGATCGATGATGGTCTTGAGGTCCTGAACCATTTGCTTCAACTGTCCGTCAATGTCCTTTGCCAACTTGTAACTGAGCGTTTAAAAAAGCGACTCAAGATCAACTCAAAATTAATGGTGAAAAAGTGAATTAGTAAAGAATTGGACGGTTTCGTTTAAAGAATTGTCTTTCTAAAACTTCTCACTCCCTCCTTGATTGTTCAGCAGCAATAATGTATTAGTACGCAGTAATTTATTAATATGTAGGAATATTAAATGCAATGTTAATGTATTAATATGATAATGTATTCACCACCATCAATACCAGAGATAACGCCAGAATCATTTAACGTGGGCTCAAACCATTTAATCATTTAACATGGGCTCAAACTCAACTCAAACCAACAGACCAACTCTTGAGCACTGTTGTTGGAGTCATTGTGTATTGTGGCAAGACACTTTGAAAAAGTGGATCAGTAAAGAATTGGACAGCCTCATTTAAACAAATGGCCAAAGTAATCTTTGCCTTTCTTAGTTACAGACCACAAGCTGATCCCCTCTCCCCCTTTCACTAAGTCCAACTGCATGAAATCTGATGACACACCCTTGCCACCGAATTTTGCCAGGCCAGTTTTCCTCTTGTACTTTTTTTCACACTTTGCTTGATGGACTAAGCATAAAGAGGGACTTATCATAGTCTATCTCAGTTTTTATGCAAAAACTTTGCAACAATGACCTTGCTACATTCACCTGGCAGATCCATATAACCAGTACTAGCCAGTCAGTAAACAGTGCATAATGTATCACTTACGTGAAGTCTCTCTCTTTGTCTGCCTGCTGAAGCTGTCTGCTGCCTGAGTTACTAGTGCTCACAGCCTCTTCCAGCGGCTTCAGCATTTCCTCTAATTCTTGTTGCTGCGCCATTATGAAGTCCAACTCCTGGTCAAGTCTAAGAAAAAAGTTAGATAATTCTATTAACAAACTATAAGGTCTAGATGTAAGTTTTGGACTTTTCAACTTCACCCCTCCCCCCACCCTGTCCCCCACTCCACTCATTCTAATGACCTGAGTGTTAAGTGTGAAGGACCGAGAGAATATGATCCCCCTACATACCAAGTGAGCAAATACCACATTAGTTACCACATGGATTAAGAATTCTTTACTAATAAATAGTAAATGCCAAAAGGAACATGTCCAGAGTCGTACATCTGGACTTACAATTTCATATAACTGCTATAATAAACTAATTACAAACTACTTTCAAATGTATGAATAATAATAAAATAAAATTTAAAAGGCATCTGTTCACAAAACAACATTTATGACGTTCAGCTCTGACACATGGCAGGATGTAAGGGTGTCCCCTTTTCCTAAGGCTCCTTGATCTCTGGGGTGGAAGCAGTTCATGAAGGGGATGAGTACTATCAGCAGTTATCTTATCCCATAGTAGCTTATCTTTGATTCTAATTAATTTGGTTCTGATTAAGTATTATGGAACCTACTTAAAATGGACACCAGGGATGGTAGAGATGGAGAATACATGAATTATAGGTTCTCTGGTACTGCTAACAGTGTAAGTGCACTGTCCCCGATATAGATGAGCACATATTATGAAGATGTCTATCAGAAGAGGTACGACTGTAACAGTTTTGCAAGCTTACAATTGTTCTATTTTTGGTGTTAAACTGTAAGTCATGTGGTCCACCTTCCACCAAGTCAATCACAAAAAGCATTCCAATCTCAATCTTGAAAACCTTCTTTACAGCAATATTCACTCAGGCAGTTCAAAAAATAAGTTATTTCAAAAAAAAAAGATTACCGTGCAGCCCAGATATACATAAAGCAAACACTCTAACAACTCAATATCCCTTATGCATGTCAAAAAGGTGTTCAATCATATTCTTCACAGGAGAAATAGCAACAAGACCCCAAAGTAGAAAATCTTCATTGCTGAGACTCTGAGTTGAGGTTTACATGTAAGTCTGAGAAGTAATTTTGGTTGGATTTTTAAAATTTGCTGGTTCAACAAAGCACTATTTGTTGAAGGATAAAGGTACCACTGTATGTAATCTGAATACACATCCATTCAATAGAAAAATATTAAAATTTGATGATAATAAGTGATATTATTTCTTGACCTTTTTTGTTCTGCTTTCACATTCTCCACACCAGCATTTAATTCAGTTATCTGCAAAATAAAAAAAAACATTTCATTCATGATAAATTGCACTGTGAAAATATAATTTCAATATCAGAACAATAAACAAGCTAAAGGCTTTTAGTTCATTGCCAGCAGGTTAAGGATTAAGTTGATTTGAAAGCAATAACCAGATGGAAAAAAAAAACTGTGTAAGGATCAAATTATTTCACCTTAGTTTAGGCATTAGAAGTAGATTTATTGCTAGTAATTTTGCGATGTTTGCTTTTGGTTTACAGGTTTACAGTGTTGACAACTTTTAGACAACTTCTGATGGCTTCCATCTCTAATCAACTTGCCACCAGTTTCAAACATTCACAGGTTGAGCCTTTTGAAATTCCCATGAGAGTAAATGGTGAATTTGACAATTTATTATTCTCTCTACCCTGGACAACTCCCATGTTCTAATTGGCCGGTTCAAATACTTAGAAGCCAGCAAAAAGTTGTCAAAAAGTTATCAAGAAGATACCAAAATAAAACTTTTGCAAGTAGCAACGGTACAGTGGACACCACTGTAAGACTGACTTTTATTTTCCTTGGTTTCAGATTATGACTTCAAACAAGGGGCAAAGATATACCGCAAACCACTTAAAAAATTTCCAATCAATACAAATTTAAACACCACCACATAAAATTAAAAGTAGTTGTCAAAAAATGAGACGAAAAGAAGTAAAAGAGAAAGAGAGAAAATAAGGGGTCACTCTAACACTATATCATATGCACCTTTTCTCCATTCTCCATAAGAAGCCTATCCCATGAATTCACTTGTGCTGCTTGATCCAGAAAGGTCCTTTCATAGTCCGCTAGCTCCTGAGCCCACTAAAACAGAGAACATGTTCCATTTGAATGACAGAACAACATCCAAAGTGACTTGATCCAAGTAGCTAGCTTCATACAAAATAATTCAACAAAATAGTAGAGAATAGCAGCAACATTACTAAGATATGACACAGAAAGGTCAGGTAGATGTTCTCCTCTGTCAGCCGATAAAAGTTGTCCATTTAAGAAATATAAAACATTTTCTGTGTTTATATCAAGTTAAAGAAACACGAAGTTTGGGAGAACCAGAAATGTTGTGGAAACACAAGCTGACAGGGGAGTGTTTTCACAGCTTTTCTGAGTTCTCACAAACTTCCATGAGTGTTTCAAAAAGTTGATAGAAATATGGAGAACATGTTTTCTATTTCTTTTAAAAAATTCCGAGACAAAAAAAGAAAACAACTTGTTCACTTTGATCATCAAAATGAAAATTCTCTTTGCTCATGCCATCATTACGTCAGTAGCTCATGCTAGTCCTGTGTTTCTATTGTCAAATGAGTTGTAAAAACATGATTGTAAACCAATAAGTGCACGTGTTTTCTTTGGGCTATTTTCTAAAGATTACTAATTTTTGCTTGTTCTTGTATAAGTTGACTAGCCAAATAATTGTTCATCTTCAACTATGCAAATGAGTGGCCACTGTAAAGTTGGGAGGGTGATACTTTGAGTGTTAAAACATTAATAATTGAATCAACTTCAATCAATCAGCTTTATTTAGAGAGGGTGACATATGAGAATATAGACTGATAAACTAGTGGCCTTCTGTGCTAAAAATCTATGAGTGATTATAAAATAAGCAACTTTAGTACAAAGTAGGAAAAATAAAAAGTTACAATATGTAAAAAGTTACTAACAATAAAAAGTTACAAAAAAAAATTGTATATATATATATATAAAACGGTTATAAAATGCCTCAAGCCAACAAAGAATGCCACTGCGTCAGGAGGATCAATGAAGATTCACAGTCCAAGGAAGAAAAATGCAAAACGAGAAATACAANAAGTTAAAATATTAAAGTTAAATATTGAGAGATTGTAAAATGGTGAACACTTTCCAAATGTTCCATGGGGGTTACCTTTAAATTTATTACCTTCAGCAAATTACCTAAGGAAACCCCTGTGCCCTAAATAACCCTTTGCCAGGTAACTACATTACGTTCTTGTCAAGATATTTTTCTCTTATAATACCTCTCTCCACCCAGGTGTATGAAAAGGTACCAGTCAAATAAATTTAACCCTGAGGGGTAACACTGCAATGGACTAGACACCCATCCACAGCCAGGTGATAGAAATCCTACAGAACTAGTCACTTCGTTCTACAGAGACTAGGATAAGCTCTGGTAACAGTGTGGGAGACTTTGGTCAAACATAGACTCAACCTTTCACCTACTGATGGAGTTAATTCACCTATATCAACTTGTAACTGAAGAAAATTGTTTACCTCATGTACACCATGCCTGCAAATGTAACACAGTACTTTTAAAGAACCTCATCAATTTATTACCTTGTTGATGTGCTCTTCAAGCTGTTTGTAGGTCAATTGTGGTACATTACTTGTAGCTGTTGCTGCTGCTGCTGCTGCTGCTGCTGCTGCTGCGGTACTGGGTACACTGTTCAGAAATGTAAAGTAAAGCCAAGAGTATAATTATCATATATGTGTGTTATTGAACTACAGCGAAGTTAGTATTGAAGAAATAATGGACAATTTCTGTTTTTTTTGCAGGTTTACAGGCCAAGCCACAGGCTATGTCTATAAACTTGCAAAAAAGGAGAACCAGATGAACATTTTTCAATAAGGACCTAAAAAGCTAGTTCAATAAGGTACTTTTTGTCATGGTTCTTTTTAATCTGCTGATATGAAGGCAAAAATACTTCATCTTCTAAACAAAAAACTGTTTATTTTCATGCAATGAATCGAAAAGGCAATTTGCCAAAATTAATTCATGAGTGGTCCATCTTCATGATCCATATTGCAAAATTCGGACTACTAACTAAAGGGAACCAATCAGACCAGTTCAGCGATGTTACAATGTTAATTTCTATATGTCTGTGGGCTTGCAATTTCCACTGGCTGCTGGAAACTGTCTGAAACCAGTCTAAGGCAATAAGTCTAAGAACAGTTCATTACACACTGTGGTCAGTTGCATAGCCTGATAAATCACAGCAAAAGCAGCTGGAAAAAGTGAATCAGAGCATTTGCAAATCATAACCACAAACAGGTGTTTATGAAAGTACCTTACATTCTACATTTGTATCATTTTTAAATGTTGTTAAATGCAGTTTAACAAAGTTAACAACAGAGAGTAGCTAGTGCTTCCAGGCAGTGGTATACATATGGTACTGCATGCTCAGTGCTCTTCGCCATTGTACTAGCATGTTCCACCGTGGCGGTCATTGGAACAGTTGAGTTGGTCTATTCATCAACATCTTTCTGCTCCCCCCTCCCCTCCCTGTCTCCACTGTTAACTCAGTGTGACAAGTGCCTGGAAGACTGCGTGGGGGCTCATGGCTGGGTTGCATGGCTGGGTTGTTATACTGTCTAGAGGCCAGCTGGTCACAGTGGAGGCCGCTGGATAGCCCAGGCACCCATCTTCCATACAGCATGATACAGTTGTTAAAGACATTTAATGCTAGACAATTTTAATCTTCACCTTGCTGCACTTGCTATTGTTCCAGGCCCTGCAGCAACTGCAAGAAAAGAAAATTTGTTGTGTGATGAAAAATGAAAAAACCAAATTGTCCACTCTGCTACATACACAAGTTTTCTTACAAACTCATAGAGAGCAAGGTATAAAAAGTAAACACTAGACCTACAGAAAGAATAACAGCCAACAGTTGAAAGAAACTTCCCTTAGTTCAAATACAATTCAATTAGTGATGAATTTACAGCATACGTTAAAACTATATAATAACAAATGTTCAACTAGCAACAAAGCTTCCTTCACACTTGTCTCTTAATGTGTTGAGTATTTCTCTGGGCAAGCTTATTACACCCAAAAGGTCTTTGGTTATGTCAGATATGGCCTTTAAAAGTTCAACAAAGAGAACCAACCTGTCGTTGTCGCAGTTGATAGTGACGTAGTTGTTTGTGTTGAAGCTGCAGGAAAAGAAAACCCAGGTGCTGTAGTTGTGCCAGTGGTACCAAGGGTGAGGCCAATGGAGGTTGTACTAGCGGTGGCGGTAGCTGCTGTGGTTTTCGCTAACCCAGACAAAGAACCTGTGACAGGAGTAGCTGAACCAGCAGCTGCTGCTGGAATACCAAGTGTGAATCCAGCACTAGCTGGAGTAGCTGCTGTCCCACCTAATTTGAGCCCACCTCCAAGAGACAGTCCACTTGTTGTAGCCGCTGCTGGAGTGGCTCCCACAGTAAGCCCAGAGCTGGGGTTTCCTCCCGCACTGCCACTTTTGGGCCCAAATCCTGATGAAGCTGAAGAAGCAGCTGTCGTTGCACTGCCAGGTACAAATGTTGGTGTTGGATTCACCGTAGCAGGTGCAGTTGTTTTGCCTGTTCCAAGAGTAAACCCTTGTGATGGTGCAGACCCTAAGCTTAATCCACCTGTTTGACTATTTGGAGTGCTGAACAAAGAGCCTGAAAGTCCTGTGGGTTGAGCCAAACCCCCACCCAAGGTGAACCCAGTGTTTGATGTCCCAGTGGCGGCAGAGGTTTTACCAAGTGTAAACCCCCCTGTGAATGGGGAAGAGGTGGCACTTGTAGTTGCACTAGCCAGTGAGATGCCTCCAGGTGCGGCAGCAGTTGCAGAGGGTGCTGGGGTGCCAAATGCAAGCCCTGATCCTCCTCAGATGAAAACAAAATTTAAAGCAATTATGAATCCACTTTCATTGATAAAATACTTAGTCTAAGAGCACAGGCAATGAAACCATTGGGCAAGTTGGCTAAAATCAAGGTTAATGTCCAGAACAGTCAAATCTTCACTAACGATCTTCATAAATTGACTGTCTGAGATAATAAGCCCTGTCTGGACCCATGTTTCATCTGAAGGACTCACACGACAGAGAGAGAGAAACTCTGGTACAAATCTAATGAGGCCATCATGTTGAATCCTTTGCATGTTTATTCAATTTTATTAGCCAGCACCTTCACTTACTCACTTTGGTTTTCTTGGATTAAAACCAAGGCCTTCAGGGTTAGACTGTTTTTGCACAATTTAGTAACCTATCTTTTCTTTTATATTTTCTTCTGTTACTTTTTTTTTTATTTGAGTTTAACTTAAGCTTAATTCCGTGTATCCTAAGGACGTGATGGGCCCTATGCTTCAGCATCCTATGAATGTTTTATGGGTATATATGCATGATTTGTTCATAAACACAAACTCTATTTTCAGGTAACCTGCAATCTTAAGTAACAAACCTCTATTGAGCAGACACCACGACCAAAGTGTGTCCTCTGACTAGAGATTTCACTTTGATTCTGTAGAAAGAATTTACATGAATATGATGTGGACAACTTACCAGCGCCTCCTAATTTCAAGCCACTACTGGCTGCTTGAGAGGATGGCGTTGCTGGGGCACCAAAAGAAACCCCACTTGAGGTGACAGAACCAAATGCAAACCCTCCAGTTTGTGGAGTGGATGTTGCAGATCCTGCTGGTTTGCCAAACTGAAAGCCACTGCTAGGTGTTGCTGAACCAAAAGTGAATCCCCCTGCTTGAGTGGCAGGTTTTGCACCTAGATTTAAACCTCCTGTGCTGGCAGGTTGGGTTAATCCCCCTGTGCTTCCAGGTGTTGTACCAAAAGGTATGCCCCCTATGCTGCCAGGTGCTGCTGCAGATGTTGTCCCAGAAGAACCAAATGAAAAACCTATAGACAAACAACAAAAGGATTAAACTCTACATCAGGTAAATCCATATATTGACTATATAATTCCTCACAGAGTAAGGATCAGACATCAAATCACACAGAGTGTTCATACGTGTACATGGCTCAAGATTTGGTGCTCGAAAATGCTGTTTAAAGTGCATAAATAATTAAATAAATTGCTACAAGTAAAATACAGTCATAGTAATCAATAATTATTAGATGAGGTCGAGCAAAATAACTTGATTTGTCAGTAGCAAGCAGATAAACTATTTGCCAAAGCCGAAGGCTGAGGCAATTAATTGATCTGCAATACACTAACAAATCATGATATTTTGTGATAACGAAGTTCAATATTGTTTTATCATTCGATAACCAAGTTTTTTTTTTTTCATATTTAGGGAAGCGATTTGCCATTTTTCAGTTGAGAGTGGTAAAAAATTACCCATGAGCAGAATATTATTTGCTTTTACGCATTAGCAGACCATTATTTATAGGCAGTTATTTGCAGGTCACGTGGTGGGTTCTTGGCCAATGAAAAGGAAGAAAAAATTACATTGAATGATAATTTTTCTTTTTACATGGCAGGATAGTCTCAAGGTAAATCTCAACTGTCATTCTGATTGGTTCGTTCTTGGTCATGATATCACGGTATGGCCACTTCCAAAAGCCAAGTTTTTTTGTTTTCTAAAGGCACCAAATTCAACATTTGCAGCATGGCCTGGGAACTTTACACTAAACTGCTTACTAACGTAGCTTGCTAGAGCCATACCTGGGAATATTTGCCCTTGGTTGTTTTTATATAGACCTTGACCTGTCAGCCCGTACTGCCATGACCTCAGGGCAACATTCCCCTGTAGGCTAGAGCCCTTGTGCTTGGTTAGCAAGAGGTTATTACTTCAGGTGATTGATGGTATTTTCAATAGAAGAATGATATCATATTCACAAGCAGTAACAATGTATGGGTGAGACTTCAATACTTTCAAATCCACCTCATCATGTATGCTACCTAGTTAATTCCTTTTTCTTCGGTAACAAAGAATAACCCTACTCATGGTTTTTGACACCATCTTGCTGGATAGGCAACGCAGTCAGAAATTACAGTGTTTGTATGGGAATCAGATGGCAAAGAACTTTTTTTTAAATAATGATTTTGCACAACTTATGAATCGCAACTTGACCATACTAGGTAGCAGATTGTATTCACCAAATTTGAAGGATGTAGCTGGACTAGAAGATGCTTTATAATTTCCCATACATTTTTCCTGCGAACTGTATCTACCCAGCCAAATTTACAGACAAATGTATGGAAATTTAGAAAAATTAACAGAACGTCTTCTAGCCAAGCTACATCCTTCAAACTTGGTGAATACAATCTTCTCCCTAGTATTTTAACACTGCGATTAACAAATTGTGTAAAATTCAATATTTAAAAAAGTTATTTGCCATCAGATTCCCATACAACCATCGTAATTTCTGACCACTTTGCCTACCAGTCAAGATGGCATTGAAAACAGGACATACCCAATCAATGAAAATTGATGATCAGAAAAGCAATCGATACAGGTTAGTTAATTGGCATCGATTGGTATCAGCCAATTGATGACCAATTGATAATCACACAACAGTCTTCATGAATCATTGATTGCCATCGACTGGGCTTAAATTTCTTTTCCTGATGAAATGGTTTACTGCACTGTCTCGTCAGCTGAATAGTTATGTTGACTTTATTCAGTTAAGTTGATCTTCTGTCAATGTCCTAGACCCTGTCATTGTTTTAATAATTAAAATACATTAAGAGACTGTGCCGTTTAGAAATCGTGATTGAAAATAGGATCTGTCAACAATTGATGGCCATTGATGCCAATTAATCGACTGAAATTGATAATTGATGAAAATCAATGCCAATCAATGAAAATCAATGACAATCGATGATCAGATCAACCAGGACGATCTACTGCTCATCAATTATCAATATCAATCGATCGATTGTCATCGATTGTCATCGATCATTGATTTCATCCATTGGTTACGTCCTGCGAAAACCGTGCTAAGGCCTATTAGAAATTAGGATTCAAACCATTAGGATAACGTGTTTTCGTTTGACATAACAGCGATCGGACACGTATTTTTTAAGCTACGCTACTTGTGATCGTCTCAGTAAATTTTACCTGCTGGTTGCTGTGTCGGTGCTGGAAAGCTGAACCCTGATCCGACTGAAGGAGCACTTGATGTGCTAGTGCTGCCAAATGTGAAGCCCCCAGTAGTCTGACCAAGCTGGGATGTGGTTCCAAATAAACTACCAGAAGGTTGTTGCTGGTTTGGCTGGCCAAACATATTTATCTTTGAGATTAAGGACTCTTAAACTCACGTTTGTGTGCTATACAGTCATTTCAGTGCACATTACCCGCCATTGCAGGAGAAGCTTGGCTACCAAGCACGCTAACCTCATCCCCAGGGTCTTCTCTACTTTTTAAAATGGCGGAGCCGGAGAAACTCTGGGCTCGAGATTGAAACGGGACCTAAATGTTTGGGCGTGGCGCTCATTTTTTTTTTCACCGTAGGGAGATATACCATTAACGAAATAACCTTGGTCCTGGATAACCCGAACGACGTCCATTTTGAATTTAAAACTTTCGAGTAGAATACATATCATCCTTCCCTAGATTCCCGGCCTAAGTTTGATTTGTTGAAACGTTGGTAGTTTAACTCGATCCCGAGTTTAACCTCTCGACAACGACGGTGTAAGTTAGTAGTCAACCTTTTATCTCCCTGCCCGTAGAGGCTATCTAGAAAGTAGTTTTGGGGGATGCTTTTTGAGCTCGTGCATCTCACCATAATCATACATTCAATCAATCAACCAACGTGACTAATGAACAACTTTATTTATTTGTCAAAAGAAAAATCCTGCTAGCTGCTATCGTTACAAGGAATCTGCTAAATGATTGGTTGACTAATGCGTCAGAACTTCGGAGGTTTTCTACTGGCTATAACCCTCTGGAATAAGAAGTTTCAGTAAAATTGATTGTAGAAAAATAATCCAGTTTGAAAGGAAGACGTGCTATGGAACGCGCGAACGAACGAACACACAAACAGGGTCAAAAACAATGTCTCTGCTTGATACACGTTGTTGATTGCTTGAGCATAATGTTTTGTATAGAAAGAATTTTTTTAAAACTTTGAAGTATATCCCTAAGAAAAGAGGTAGATTTTGCAGTCGCTAGCTTCTGTAAAGTCTTCAGATTTCCAGATGATGTGTCATATGAAACCCGTTAATTTTATCAATATATCGAAATGATAGGCGAAAACAATGTTCTTCAGAAAATTAAAGACTCTTTTGTACTTTTGTGATGCAATTAGTGATTACAATTGCTACTTTTGTTCCTCTCGCACGTGTACAATGCTGCACGTCTATCGTCATGCATGACTAGTGGCAATCAGCGAGGTATGCAATGCTCTATATATCCTGCGTCTATATCAGCTTTATTCTTTGGGAAAGATTAACACCTTCTTTTGAAGCAGGGTATTTAATTTTTCCTTCCAAAGCCAAAAATGACGTTTGTCATTTTGCTGAACTTCGGTGAAAGCTGCAAAATGTACGTGACAGACTGACGATTGATACTCTTGGACATAGGAGTCATATTTTTTACCAACCATTTTGCTTCGAATAATACGCAAATACGGTAAGTATGAGCCGAAAATGATTCATTTTTTACCAATTCATTTGTAAAAAAGCCATAAAAACTCTTCTGTTCACGTCATTCATTTGTTCTTGACAATTGATTGACAGACGGCAAGTTGCAAGTGCACGTGTCTTTCGACAGTATTGAATATTTGCACAAAGGCTCATTTTTCGTGGCAGCAAAACGCCGCATTTCAAGCTACATATTTTCATTTTTTTCTCGTACGGAATTTATTTCGCGTCTCTCAATTTTCACGCGTGAAATCTACCATCACCACAAACTGAAACAACGGCGTTTGTTTCAAAGCAAAAAAAGAAACTATTCTCAGCGAGATACCTTCAAGGTTGTCAGTTTTTGTTTAATCTAGTTTTAGGGCAAAATGGCCTATATTGTAGCCCCAAGAAGGGGCAAAAGCAGTCGAATGAAGAAAAAGGCTTTGATAAACGACGGAGAAGAAAGCTGTTTGAAGATTTCCACAGTTGCAACACAGTGGTCGGGTCTACCGTATGCAGCAGTTAAAGCTGACAGCAAAAGACACGAAGCTTCTCAGCCAAACTTTGAATTACAATCTTTCTTAGAAACGTTTCCGAACGAAATCGGAGAGAATGAGAAGTCAATATTGAGAAAGATTGACGAAGCGTGGCAAAGGAAAGACGTGGATACAATGTTTCAGCTCATTAAGGTAAGCAACCAATAGTTTATTTATACTGAATTACTAGAGTGAAAGCTTTTTCATCCCGGTCTTCCATGTTTCATCTACTCCCCACGGTTTTCCATTCCGCCTTTGAATCATTAGCATTTTATATTTTTGTTGAAGGAAAACCACTTCACTGATGTAGCGCAGAAGAAAGTTCTATATTTTTGGGACATGGGACATTACTACCAGGAGAGCGCAAAGCGGAACAAGCCGCTAACTCCTTTAGCACGGTTTAGGATCAGAGAGAGGTGAGTTGAGATAAAAGGTAGCGTGTTGCAACGTTCTTCAATGTAACTTCTTCGCTTCTGTTGCTTTTGAAAATCTACGATTTTTAATGTTAAAATTACTAAGGTACTTTTCATCAGTTTCAGTTTCCTGGCTCGACGTGCGGAGAAAACAATTGTTTAGCGATAGACAATGAAAAATTAAACGTCTGAATTGCAGACCGCGTGGCGCCAACATTCCACTGCAGCAACACCTTCGGTGCATAGTTTTGCGGAGAATTCATATTCTTAACAATTGAGTCCTAGACTTGAAAAAGTAACCAAAATGTTCTTTTTAACAAGGTATTGGAGCACTGCTATGAGAGACACGAAGTCAGCTCTTAAATTTTTTCGTTGAGCCTTCATCTGAAAACATCGACCTCCAAGTCAACTGAAACAAACAGTACAACAAACAAGCTAAGACGAAAGGTACCAACGTTGAACAAAAATTGACCTCCTGAATTAGACACTACTAGTATTAAAAATTGTAACTATTGCAGCTCTTTGTACGTTCGCTGCAAAGTATTCGCTTACCATACTAGGTGACTTATTAAACCCAGCTTCTGAGCAATTTCCTGAGAAAGTGAACAAAATTGGTTTAGAGCATAGGCTTGGATATCATTAGACTTCCTTCCGATCTACAAGTTCTTTAGAGTTTTTCTGTTCTCAGTATGAGCTCTTACTTGAGTTAATACATTCTACAAATTTCGTCGCTCTCTTCCTGCAGTGTAGCCTGAAGATGAGATGACTGATTTTCGGCAGTGCTCAAAAAAACTTCTTTCTTCTACTGCTTAATTCTTGAGCAATAAGTAAACTTGACACGCAGAAAGATAGATATGATGATAGTATTTTAACACCAGCAACCAGTTTTGCGTCGCTGAAATTGCAGCAGCTTTTTTTTAATTTCTAGGAAACGACGGACAAGTTAGTCTTTCTAAAGTTTTGAACCTACAGTTCTCGGCTAATGCATGCTACTTGAACGGTTTTTTTTAGTGAAAAGCCTGAGATATTTCATTGTCAAAACGGAGTATTAAATGCTTAAATCACTTGAAGCTAAAAACAAACTGGCGTATAGCAAAGCTCTCCGAATTGTTTTGTTTCAGTTTCAGCGCAAAAAAAGAAGAAAACATATAGTCTTTTCAACCAGCTTTGCTTCCATTTCTGCAGTATTCGACAGAAGCTACGCATATCTTTACAACCACTAATTTCAACAAAATATCTTGTGTACAGTCAATTAACTTGGGTCTGATTAGCTGTGAATTCAAACGTTTTTATAACATCTAGACTGACATTTTAACAATACCTCTGTCTTTCATTTTACATTTTATTGGTCCCCTGCATTTTATCTCAACGGTTTTGTTATGACGTTGCTAAATATTTCTTTTGTGCAATTTTATAGGTTCCTTCCCCCAGAAAACATTTGTCCAAACGGAAGGAAAAAAGCAACGTTACCTAAAGAAGCTACAAACGTTCTTCGGAATTGGCTTGACAATAGTCCCCGTCCGTACCCCACACGGGAAACCAAAACCGCACTTGCGGAGCTGACAGGACTAACAACCATGCAGGCAAGCCTTAAAATGTAATTCAGTATCTACAAAATGATCAGAAGGAGATAGACCGATAAATAATGAATTTTAATGCCAGGTTACATAAAAAGATCGACTAACTTAGATGATGTAAGCTTCAAAGGCCTTAAAGAATGGATTTTTATTATCACTTTTAGCCCGCTTCGCTTAATGCATTTATATAGATCTTTGTGGTAGTGGCTTTATCGTTCAGTTAATCTGACCTCTATTGGCTATACTTATAAATACAAAAGTTGACGTGATATTATTGATAAATTGTAGCAAATCTTGTCATGTCTTGTGGCAAAACTGATGTTTGCGTAAAGAACTAGGACTCAGCCAGCTTTGTTATTTTCCTCACGGGACTAGTCCAAAATATAACAACTTCCAAAATGACTGATATTGTGGTCCTTAAAAGGTTTCGTCGGACTCGTTCTGCAGATTATGCCCATTCTTTTCGCGTAATTCGCGTAAGAAAAGTCAGTCAATCAAAACGTCCGACCTAGTAAGTTCATTTATTATTTTTGTTTTTTTATTTTGGCACATGAAAACTAGGTGAACACTTGGTTTGCAAATACTAGAAGGAGAATGCGTGGAAGACGTCGAAAAGAGGAACAGAAGACTAACAGGCCACGGTAAATGAACCACTTCTTTGCAGTTGCATGTAAACCTCTATTAGGTCGACTGTCGATCAATACGACAATCAATACAGCATTAGACAAAAAAAAAAACAAAAAAACATATGATTCCGTTTCAGTACTACTCCGCCATGGCAAGTATCTGTTTTTCCAACGTCGATGACGTCAACTCCTTCTGCTTTCCAGCCATGCTCCGGTATTTGCACGTGTCCAGCTCCTCTCCCCCAGTTTCTTGCCCCGACATCTTTGGGTAAGTTTGGCTTGTGTTTGCGTTCAAACATGATTGAAATTTTTAAAATTTTTCTTCTGATCGTTCAAGTAGTTACCAAATCCAAAGCAGCCTAGAACACCTGGAAATTTGATTTCTCAAAATCGTTTTAAAATAATCCATCAAATTTAAACGAAGGAAGTCATAACCATGACGTTGTTAGTAGCATTAAATTAGCACAGATTTTTTACGACTTTATTTCGCCGTTTTCTCTTTAATTTTTGCGGGTTTCAGTTGGTGAAATATACCGAATACTCTAGACAATGTTTTACTCCATTTCCAAACACCTCGAAGCTTGTCAAAGATACTCAGCTGGACGTCGCATTTTTCACCCTCTACAAGGTTTTGGAAATTAAATATCGTAAAACAGTCTCTCGTGTTTGTTATAATAATACTTTAAAGCAAAATAAGACGGGTTTCTGGGACGTAAATTATTGCTGAGCCATGTTACATTTGAGTTACTCTTCAATCAAACGGGATTCTTATGCCCACGAGAAACCTTGGTAACAAGACTACTTAACAGCAAACAATTTTTTTTAAAACTGTTACAGGTTCAAATCTGCCAGCCCTTTGGTCAGAGATGAATGCCAACACCAGGGCTTTAATGGCGGAATGGCCAGTGAGGTAGACACATGCACCTTAACATTTGTCGCCAATCAATTCACTCTGTTTACTTTGCTAGCAGTGACTGATGGCCAGTTAAGCACGGGGCAATAGGTTGGAAGAGAAACTGTCCACTCGAGCCAGAAGCTTATAAGCTTCTACCCGGGCTTACCACCGCTGTACCATGCCTTGGAAAGAAACAAATATTTGGTCTGGGAGCTATGTAATGTTTAAAAAACGAGCAGCAGTGTTTTCTCGGAGGCGTAGCCGAGTTTCTTAAACCGGATAAAACACATGGTGCGAGTTTTTTGAACAGCTTCAAAAACATTTGTGGTAGATCTGCTCATTTGTAGAATAATTCTTGGGTTTATTATCATTTTTCTGGAGAAAATCAGCTGCAAAATTTAGCCGTGTCTTTATCAAATTTGTATTTTCTTTATGAATTCCTTTGTGAATTATTAATGAGTTTTTGAACAGTTCTGAACGGCCTATTTACTTTTCACGTAAGCTCAAACGTACAAGCGCAAATTTTACAAGCTTGTATTTTGTTCGCAATTGCGCTTGACGGAGAAGAAAGCATAAAGGTGAACAAACTATCGATTTTGGGCTTTACAATGATCTGAAGCTTTCGCAACTCACGATCTTCCAATCTGATACCCATTTAACATATTCTTTAGTCATACAGCAACTGTTGGTGGCCAATACTTCACGTCGCCTGTGGTTGCGTTCACACCGAATCTCTGGGAGCCTGAGCTCCAGTACTGCGGGCTCCATGCAGCGGCACAGATACTGATGGACATGGCAAGCAAGTGAGACGACATATCCATGGTGACGTCAAGTATCTCTAATTGACATTTTTTCAACGATTTCGCGAGTTTTAAAACAAAATTTATTGATACATTTGTTAAATTTATGAAACAAATTCGTGAGTTTCAGATGCAATTTCTTAGCTTTGAGCCCACTTGGAGGTTGATGGATAAATTAATGATTCCTAGAATTTTTACGTGCAGTTCTCAAAGAAATTCAATTACTTATGAAGATCGATCGTCATCATAGAATGATGCTGAAATCTATTTTACATTTTAGATGTAATGTTCCAAAAAGTGCTAGAGAGTTGCCCATTATACAGTCAATAATGACAAATTTCAACTTAATAAACTTATTTTGCGTCAATATTTTTGTCTGGTCTTTGTATGTGAAGAACAGTAACCAGATTATGATGTTCGGAATTACGTGTGATCTGTAATTTACAGCTGTTTCGACAAGGGTTGTCCCACAGATACCTACCCAAATGCGAAAAAGGCTTGGAAGTAACCCATAAGTCATTCGGCCAAAATGATTAACATTTGTAAGCCAGAAATGATAAGAAACGTAAACCCAGAATGAGTTGTGTTATATTTTTTTTGCACTCGCCTGAAGTGGAAGGATGTAAACCAGTGCACTCTTCTTTAACAAACTTATGTCTAAATTTATTTATTACAGATTTGGTGTGTTACAGACATAGTCATTTTTTCTATATTTACATCAGTTAATGGGCGATATCATGCAACTTGACTTTGACAAGGTTTTTTCCTGCACATTTCTCGTTAATCATCTCCCACAAATTAAGAAAATGAAATAAAGGTTCAACTGTTAGGTGTAAACTAAACACATCACTAACTGCAAAAACAATATTTCTTTTATAATGTTCAATAACATTCAGAGATGTGGACATTAGTTAAGAAGTTATTTTCAAGAGTTATGCAGCAGCCTTTTCGTTGGTTGTCCAAGGGTTTGAATGTGTATATTTCACTTTAGGGTCTGGTTGAGTTTGCCTCCGCCCAGAAGCATCAATGTCGTTTTCTATATCATAGAAAGACCATTCATTATAGGAAAAGTACTCCGTCACTTTGTACGTGCTTATATCTTCTGCTTCCTCTTTGGGTACTGTGGATGAGACACAAAACCAATTTCAATAAAATCAGTTCCATTACAATAACAAAAACAAACGTTTGTCTTTTCAGAATCCTATACAAAGTAAAGACTTCTATCAAGTTTCAGTGGCTTGGTAGAAATGATCAAGTTTCAATAATTTAAACGAAACTCCAAGAAATTTTTTTTCCTCTATCAATACTGCGGCAAAATAAACACTGGTGCTAAGTGCAGACAAAAACTATCAAACCACCACTTTCATTACAGTAACTGTATGTGCTTTCTGACAGAGAAAATGTAGAGAAGTTCCAGCAAAATGTATGGATTGGTACTAGCACAGTCGAGACAAAAAATGTTAAAGGTTTCACCAGCGTAGTGGCCCTTTCAATGCCATTAGCTTTCTATTCAAAGAACTATCTTCCTTGTGAAAGATTTCCTTTCTTTAGACTCTCTTGGTTTGCTTTTTCTGAAAATGTCAGGTATGAGTAAATGCCAAGTCAACTGTCAATAAGCTTGCAGTTGAAGCTTACACTGTCTTTCCAGTCTGCACTTGTGGGGTTGATCGTTAACACTATCAGTCATGTAATAAACCCGTTATTGGCCAAGCTTGCTCTGGACTGTACTGGGAGAATGTTAACTTTGCTCTTGCATTTTTTGTACTCTGACCTTGCTGTACTTAGTCCATACTGTCAAGACCTCAGACCAATACTCTCCCACTACAGTCCTCACAATTGGTTTATAAGATGTATATACAAGTACATAATGAGTGCACGAATAAAGTGAGAAATAGAAATACCAGGAAACCTTCAAGTAGTCATGAACAATCATTTGGGACAGTGGCCAGTGTAATACTTAGAAAATTTCAACCAGCAATAGAGAAATCTGATTGGTTGATTTTGCTCATTGGTTCCCTGAACTAACTTTGACATGTAACTATGTAGGACTACTTTTTAATAATATTTGTTTAAGAAGTGAGAACTGTGGCAGCTAGCTTGTCATTGTTTTCAGTTGATCCATTATGGTAGTAGAGTGCACAAAGAACAAGATTATGAACAAGTTATGTTATATACCTGATGGTGGACTAGGGGTAGCCTGTTTCCTGGAATCGCCACCATCAACAGTCGAGCTACTGGATGTCAACCTCCATATTGCTGTTGGCATCCTCTGAGAAATAAAGTAACACAGAAGAAGGACTCGGGCTACTGACAAAGAATTCCACTTCCTCAGTGCTGGAAATATGATTGGTCTACAGTGCTACTAAACTGTGATGAGCTCAGTGAAAATTTTCAAGATCCGTGCAAGATGGCATTATCTACAAGTCAATGAGTATTCAAGGTTGAATTGGCAAAGCTTTACTGTTAACAACAGTTTTTAAGATCAAGAAGGTAAAATTGCCAATCTCCCTTAGGCCCGGGTCGCACTAGAGCCAATTTTGTTTGTACAAGGAATAAATCTGTCACCAAGTAGCGTAAAATAAGTGTGACCCCCAGTTTCAAAAACTTGCCAAATTTTTGCGGGTTGCCAAAATTTCGCCAATCTTCAAAGAAGCCGAAGTGCTGCCTCGGAGGCTTCCAAATTTTGGCAAAGCAAAACATTTTGTTATTTTAACCATTTAACTGTCGTATTTTTAAAACATACATGGATAAAATTAGGCTAGTCCAGTTTGGCACGTGCGATGGTGGGACAAAATTGTTTTTTACCTGCTCCATCTGATGCTTTTTCAGTTATTTCAATGCAAACGAGAAATATGAGCGGCATTTTTATTCAAATTGGGCCATTCCATTTAATATCCGCAGCCCCCTATTGAGGTTAGGGGAAATCCGAGGGGGAGGGGGGGGGNGCCAATCTTCAAAGAAGCCGAAGTGCTGCCTCGGAGGCTTCCAAATTTTGGCAAAGCAAAACATTTTGTTATTTTAACCATTTAACTGTCGTATTTTTAAAACATACATGGATAAAATTACGGCGAGAAAATAACTTTGAAGGCTAGTCCAGTTTGGCACGTGCGATGGCGGGACAAAATCGTTTTTTACCTGCTCCATCTGACGCTTTTTCAGTTATTTCAATGCAAACGAGAAATATGAGCGGCATTTTTATTCAAAATGGGCCATTCCATTTAATATCTGCAGCCCCCTATTGAGGTTAGGGGAAATCTTCAAGTGATAATAACTATTCTGTTAAGCTATCCTTCTTAGTTTGGGGTCACTTGACATACCCTCTCATTACCCCCATTTAGCTCTGAGTAGTC